CAGTGTGACGACCATAGCTGGGCAACTTCTGACACTCTGCCTCAGCCGAATTTTGTGTTAAGCTTATAGCCTGATTTGTAATTTCAAAAGTCTTTTGCAAACAACAGTTTAGGCTTCTATCATGAATAAATGGTGTCTTCACTGGCATCTGATTGGCTGGGGAGGCAGAAAGAGAAAGTAGGTACAGTACTCACTTTGGGCTTTGGCCCCGCACATCGCTGACGTCAGCCCTGCCCACAACCAAATCTACCTTGTGCCACAGATTACATGTTAGGAACTGCAACTCTCAGCAGAAATAACCTGCCCAACCCTAAAGTAAGTATGTAAAATGACTGCCATGAATATGTGATTACTTAGCAACCAGAGATGGCTGGTCCCAGCAAATAAAATTAAGGTAAATCCGTAACTTTCCAGTTTATTCTACTAAATTTGGATCTTGCATTGAAACTATTCAGGGTGTTCAACTATTCAACTGTGTGGAATATTTCCCTGGGCAGAATACAAGAAATAAGATTATGTTATAGCTGAACAGCTCTTTAAGAAATTTAAGATATTTAACTCAGAAGATATGGATATATTCAGTTGCTTCAGTTTTTGAGCTGGGTTCAGGCTTTTCTGTCAGCTTCCATTGTTCGTTTTTATTTCAAGAGAATGCTGAACTTAAGGTCTGCTTTTTCACAAGACGTCTTGTATATTTGGTGCAAGTGAATACATTTATAAAAACTAGGTACATATTTCAAATACACATTTCCATCTAGGTATTAAACTAGAACGGTAACATAGACAATGAGGTTGTTGACTTTAATGGACAAATTAACATAGCAATTTCATGATTATGAGAGCCAAGAGCATTTGGATTTTTTTTTAAATTGCTAGTTATGTATTCAAGTCATTTGCAACTACCTATTTTCCTGAAAGACATTCAGGTTGAGTATGCTTATAAGGCAAGTAAGTTAAATCCATAATGTGGAAAAATTATTTTTTGTTATAGCTTCAGGGATCGGGTCATGGGGGGCACCATAATCCAAAAAAGTGGCTTCTCCAAACTCCAATTAAACCTCATGTAAAATTACACATTATTCTGTACCTTTCCCACAATATATCAGTCATTATATCTGAGTATGGAATTGTTTCCTATAAAAATTACATGAAATAAATTTTTCTTTTCAATAAATCTAGTTTAAAACATAAAGAAATATCTTTTTTTAGGAGGGCAGTACAGATTAACACAGAGAGCTGGTTTTATGCAGAGCTAGGCAACAGAGCTGTATTTTGAATAAAACAAGTTTAAATGGAAAACTGACAATTGCCTTCAGTTTTATCTAAGTAATGAAGAACACTTGTGGTATTAATGCCTGTTCCTAAGCTAGAAATCCAGAAGAGGGTGCTCAAGGCTTGAAAGAATCTGTTACAACTGACAGTCTAACTTAGGGTGAGACTACTTTGCTGCAATTTGATTTGCAGACTGTATTACATTTGAAATCACAATGAATGTTCACACAGGGGCTGCAGATTGATTCAGGGGTTCACAATTCATACTGGATGTGATGCAGTTCGCATTTGAGCCCACAATCCCACTTCTTTCCTTCCTTCCTCTGGTCCCACCTCTGCTGATCCTTTTATGGTTTGTTGTGAAGCTGCTTTTTCATTTAAAGCTTCAGACTACTACATTTCTCCAAAAAAATTATATAGAAAAATAACATGGAAAGGTATTTTAGCAGTCTAAGAGAACAGAGCATCAAACAGTAATTTTGCAACAAATATTATATTCACACATCAGAATGATTCTATAAGAGGCATCACCACCACCCTCTTCCCATCCATTACTCTTTTCTCTTCCTTTCAAGTAAAACATGCAGAAATTACCTCATCTCTGGTTACATATGGTTTTAAACTACAGGCACGATAAACATTTAAAGTCCATTTTCAGACCTGTCAGTTAAGTAATTAACAGCACTAAGGTTTGCTTCACAACAGAAGGGCCTTTCCACATGATCTGAAGCTTAATATGTTTCTCAGAATTCAGGACTAGCACCCAATTTCCCACATTAAAATCACAGTGCTTTGCTTTTGCATGTCACTCTGCCTGAACAGTTAAGCCCCAACTGCCTACATCACTGAAACACCACCTGTAGATATGCCCTCTACAGTATCTTTATAACAATGTAGCACAACTAACCGCACAGGAAAACAGCCCATTCAAATTGTTTTGGCTTGAAAAAGTAGAACCACCCCCACCCCCCGAAACAGAGAAAAGAAGCTGCTTTGGAACCAAAAAGGGCTGGACCAATTTGAATGAGTCTTTGCATCCTGTGGTAACAAAAATACTTCAGATTCACCCATTTTATACATGGACTAAATCCCATGTAATTTATTGTAGTACAGTATAAATGACTAGAAGGGACTAGGGCTGGTGTGCATGAAGCCGGTCACAAATAAACTGAGATGGATTTGACTGTGGGCAGTTTCTCAACCAGCCCTTTAAGATGAGGCAAAGAAAATATTTTTTAAAAATTTGTTTATAACTAATAGTCTACATATAGGGGTGGGGGGGAACCTTTCTTTCTTCAGACGATCCAGGCGACTACTAACTGGTCAGCTTGACTTTAATAGCAAAGAAAGTTCTAGAATAGAAGATTAAACAGCCACTATGTGAGCACTTTAAAAACAACAAATTATTACTAATAATAACCAGCATGGGTTTCACACAAAAACACGAGTGTTCAGGATGACTTGAAGATTCTGGTCAGGATCCCATGTTGCTCAACATTTTGATAAATGGCTATGATGAAGTTGTAGAGAAGATGTCCATCAAATATGCAGATGACACCAAATTGGGAAGAGAAGCTAAAACTTCAGAAACTAGAATTATCTTCTACCCAGGAATAGATTCTGGGTTGAAAATGTTTTGTTTCATTTTATTTTATTTCCATTTTCTAGCTAATAGGGGATGTTATCAATGGTTGTTCCTGCTTTTGTTATTAAGATGCACTTTTAAAATAATATTTTCACATTTTGTATTATATATTTTTCTTTCCACTGTAATTTGTTAAATAAATATTTTTTAAGCCTGAGAAAAGAGAGTCAGGATTTAAGATGCAGATCTGGACCAAAACAAACAAAAAGAGTTTCAGCAAGGCTAAATGTAAAGTTATACATTTAGGTAGAAAAAAAACCAAATGTGGAAATAGAAGATTGGCGACCATTGGCTTAGCAGTAGTGTATGTGAAAATGACTGGCTGCATCAACAGAGGTACAGTGCTCTGGTGGAGGTAAGTAATATTACCACTCCGTTCTACTTTTAGCCAACTTTACCTGGAGTATTGTGTTCAGGTGAAACATGAAACATGTCCAGAAGATGGCCAAGATGATCAAAGGTCCCAAAACCAAACCCTCTGAAGAACTGTTGAGGAAGTTTAGTATGTTTAGTCTGGAGAAGAAAAGCCCAAGAGATGTTGTGATAGCCATCTTCAAATCTCTGAAATGCTATTATATAAAAGATGGAGCAAACTTGCTTCCTTTGGTTCCAGAGAACAGGACAAAAATTAAGAGATTCAAATTACAGGGGGGAAATGTCCACTAAACTTCAGGAAAAGCTTCCTTGTAGGATAGTGAGAGCTGCTCCTCATTAAAATTGACTTCATCAGAAGGTGGCAGACTTAACTTAATTTTTTTAAGCAAAGGTTGGATAGCCACCCATCAGGGATATTTTCCCAATGGATTCCTTGCATCAACAGAGGGTTGAACTTGATGATCGGTGACGGCCTTCCCAGCTCTGCAGTTCTCTGATTCCATGATTCTAACGTAGTATGAATCACTTCTAAACAGATGTATTTATATACAGTATGTGCGGAGACTAATCAGACATGATTAAGATCTATGATTATATTTCTAATCTTTTTAAAGTTTGTGAACAGCAGCCATAAGGTATATCTGATTTCAAAATCAGGACCATGTGTGTCGGGGAGGTCAGGGTATATTCGTTTCCTTTTGCACAATATTTTTTTATGTGACACTTCTTCCTTTCGCACTGAAGTCTCAAATACCATATCCGCCATTATGAGATGGCTTGTTAAGATCATTGGGAGAGGCCCTTCTCTTCGTCCCATCACTTTCACAGGTGAGTCTGATGGGGACAGAGGAGAGGCCCTTCTCTGTTTCTGCTCCCAGACTTTGGAACTCCCTCCCACAGGAGGCCAGCCTGGCCCCATCTTTGCTATCCTTCTGCAAGCAGGCAAATACTTTTCTCTTTAGGCAATCCTTCCCTCAGTAACCAGATACCTGTATGGGTTTTTGAGATTGTTATGCATGACTGCTTTGACTGGATTGTTAGTAATACTTGTGTTTTCCATTTTTGTGTTTTCCATTTCTCAGAGTGACATTTTAAAAAAATTGTGTATACATATTGCTCTCTGCCTTAATATTGTGTGTTAATTATGTAAGATGCCTCTTTATTCATTGTTCATATTTTTAATATTGTCTTTTAATGATATTAATCACTGTTGTATACTCATTATTTTCAACTTTAAATATTGTATTTCATTGTAAGCCATCCTGGGTCCTTTTCAAGAAGAAAGGAGGAGTAAAATACAGTATTTTAACTAACTAACTAGCTAAATAAATAAATACCCTGTTTACCCAAAAATAAGACCTAACCTGAAAATAAGCCCTAGTATGATTTTTCAGGATGCTTGTAATATAAGCCCTACACAAAAAATAAGCCCCAGTTAAGTGAAACCCCGCCCTCCACCACTGTGCAGCAACCAGAAGAAGATGACATGACTGTATCTGAATAAACGTAGATTGTTGTACATGAAAAAAAATCCCCTGAAAATAAGCCCTAATGCATTTTTGGAGCAAACATTAATATGAGACCCTGTCTTATTTTCAGGGAAACATGGTAAATAGTCACATGCCCTGTTAGCTAAAACGTACTGCAAGCTATTCACACACACACAAAAAAAAAAAACAACACAAGTAAACAAACATTACTTTATAAAGGCAATTTATGTAGAGTTCAGATGAAGGACATCACTTTGCTATTCACTCTTTTTTTCTTGTCCCTCATGATATTTCGGTGGGTTCCATCGGCCAAGTAAAAGGAATGAGCATTTAACCAGTGAAGTACTGTTGTGGGACTCCTTTTACTCCCAGTCCGGTTATCTGTTAAAGAATAAGAAACTAGTCATACGTCTTTTGGGCTGGGCCTACCATTAGACAGAATGAGGTGGTGGTGTCAGGTGGCAGAAACAAGGGAATCATGGTGGAAGCCTCCCAGTCCTTTCTCCCATATCTCCCAGCTCTTCTCCTGTGGTGGAGGACAGAAGGTATTTGCCACAGAACCTGCCTTGGGCTCCCTAAACTAGGCTACAACCTCATGGGTAACGTACAAGGCTATCACATCTTTGGTGTCACATCTATGCCTTTTTAAAAGAGAGGGTTAAACTGGGAGGTAGGAGAGCAATCCATCACCAAGAGGTGATTTAATAATTTGGCTGCCGCGCTGTGTGTGGTGTATCTGATTGCTTCACTGCGTATGCTGATCCATACCTTGGCACACCCATATTTATTCTGCATATTTGGCTGACACGCATGCATTGTCCAGGAATGTATTACAGCAAGAGGCTCTTGGAGGACAAAGCAACACCTTGATTCCTCTGCCAGCTGCTTCAAGAGGCTTGCCTCACCCTCAGGCTGGATACCGATGAACTGCCAAGCCTTTTTAGCTGAATGTCTGTCTTTCTCATAACAGCAGCAAAGAGTGAGGAGGCTGCCTCTCCAATACAGAGACTCTTAGAAATTAAGTCTAATTATTCCTGGAGATAAGATGACATCACACTGCACTTGATGACATAAATAGACTATTTTAAAAACATAGAGTTCTGGTGCTTTTTAATAAACTAGAGATGGAAGCAACAGTAGCTCATGACTGGAGCAGGGGGTGCCTCCCCCACCCCCCATGATTTGGGAAAGAGGCAGCCCCTCCTCATATTCCATCCACAAGTTATCCCCAAGCAAAAGAAAACCTTATTTTTTTTTCCTAGGGCTTAATTTCCTCCAGGGCTAATTTGTAGGGTCCGCAAATGTGGGCAGTGGGAGTAAGGACTCTGTTTCTCCACTTCCTTTTTTTGCCCAGCAGGCTAACTGGATTCATTCTATGAGAATGTCAACCATTCTCCACCAGTTTAATAGGAAAGAAAACAAAGAATTTCAAAAGAGGTAAAACTTTGTAGACATTCTAACAGGTGAGTTCAGGAATCTTGTGTTATGAAGTGTGGCACTGGTGTGTGTGTGTGTGCATGTCTTGCCTCTCTTTAAAATTCTTAGAGGATTACGGGAACTGTAGTCCAAAAACATGAAAGAATGAATTACTAATTAAAACTTAGGGTTGCAGATTATCGATTCCTGACTCGAATGCTTTAAAGCTTAAACTAAAATAGCTAAGAGATTAAGAAAACTCAGGCTACAGAGTGTTCATATCTGTCCCAAGAGGAAGAAATTTTGACTCCACCATTTTGCATTGCTTGCCGTCATTTTTTAAAAGCACATAAGGCCTGCTTACCTTGAAAATCTCTCCAGCATTAGGTTCCTTAGTTAATGCCACCTTGCCCAATCCATCAGTGGCAGATGTGACATACATTTCTGAATAATCTTTTCCTCCAAAACAGCAGGATGTGATCCTGGAAGCTGGCATCTTTACAGTTTGAAGTCTCTTCCCTGTGTGAAAGTTGTTGATCAGTCACACACCCACAAGTTTTCTGGGGGGAAATGCAATCAATAAATTGCTTACACAGCTGCCACCTCTCCCCACATCCCTCCTCAGAAGGGCATACACATGATCATACACTATATGATCACATAGAGTTAGTTAGATTTAAATAAAATGAAGGTCTATGACTGTATTATAAGGAACACGCTTGAACACTTCTTGACTTTTATGTGTTAACTGAAGTTGGATGGTTTTTTTATTTGTCTGTTTAGACACAGCACTCCTAAGACCTTCCTTATTTATTTATTTATTTGTTTGTTTGTTTGTTTGTTTGTTTGTTTATTATTGGATTTTTATCCCGCCCTTCTAGACAGGAGTCTACTCAGGGTGGCTCACAATATATTGTACACAAAACGGATTTAAAAACAACAATTAAAATCTACAATAATAATATAATCAAGATGGGAAGATAAACAACAAAAACCAAGAAAAGTAAAATCAAGTATTGGCAGGAGGGAAGGCCTACCTAAAGAGCCAGGTATTTAATTGGCTCTTGAAAACACCCAGCGAGGGTGCCAGGCAGATCTCTGGCGGCAAGCTGTTCCAAAGTCGAGGGGCCACTGCCAAGAAGGCCCGGTTCTTGAGTAGATCTAGGTGGGAGAAGGCGTTCTGCCAGGTATCAAGGCTTTGTATGTCATCATTAACACTTTGAAGTCAATGCGGAAATGAATGGGCAGCCAATGCAAAGCAGCCAGAATGGGAGAGATATGCTGGAATTTTCTCATTCCACTAAGTAATCTGGCTGCCGCATTTTGCACCATTTGAAACTTCCACATCAGTCTCAAAAGTAGCCCCACGTAGAGCGCATTACAGTGATCTTGAGATTACAAGCGCATGGACCAGAGTGGTGAGGGCCCCACCATCAAGATATACCTACATATACCACTGGTTATCGTCAAGACCAATGTTTTATGTGTGTTCCACTAGAAGCATTCTTTCTCCTTTTAAGAACAGCAGTATTAGGTCAGCCCTTAGCTGTGGCAGTGCTTGATCAGGGAATACTGGCTGTTTGCTTAGATTGGTGATAAGGGTAATCCAGAAAAAGATATCCCTGTTCTTAGGTTAAACAACAACCCCACATTTAGTGCTGAGATTTAAGAGTGTTTGTTCTTTTGGTGAGCATCACAGGGCCAAGTATTTTCAGGCATTTCAAGATGTTTGCAAATGTTTGAAGAGTCGACAGTAAAGTTGATAAAAATGCTTCAGTTTGTAAAATGCCAAACAGGCTCAGCTAAGGCAGCATCTTCATTCATCTTTTTACCTGTTTCAGGGTCAATACGGATCACTCGTCCGCCATCAATGCAGGCCACCCAGAGCTTCCCTTCTGTGTCAATACACATCCCATCAGGCATTGCTTCCTCTTTCTCCAGCTTATACACAGGTCTGCAGCTGCAGCGATCTGTATACAGAATGGATGGACTAGTGGTTTAACTCAAACAAGGCAATATCCCCATCCACCCAGCACCAGGTCCATCCCATTCACCAGTATTCCCAATTAATGGATCTCTGTGTCATAGGAAATGCACCGTACAGTATATATGCCTGTCATGCTATCCTTAGCGGGGGGGAAATGTGGCAATCTTAAAAGGAGAATGTTGTTGTAAGTCTTTCCTTACCAGTTCAAATCTTATAATTTGAACTAGTAATAATAATTTGAAATGAAAGGAGATGTAGCCAAAGGTTTTGTAGCCAGTATGTGAAGTAGTGTCTTGAGTTGGTATGGTCTTATGCTTTACAAAGAAACATAAGCTATCTGACAACACCTTTCCTAGGTCAGGGAATCTGATGCCTGAACGTCTCCCCAAGAGCCCTAGAGCACTTTCTAGACCTCTTAGGAAAATTTCAGAAGCCTGTCTTCATCACAGCTGGCATTTATCCCAAAGAGGGTTAGTTCCAGAATGGAATCAAGCAATCATGTCTAATGACAATAAAATTCATCTGAGTGTCAGGGTGTACAATCTTCCTGGTGACATTAGCTTGTCTGATTCTACAAGCTTTATTTATCTGCACTGCTTACTAGCTAATTGTTTTGCAATGATTTCAGTAAATTATTGTTCAAGGCTCAATTTTAAAAGCACTTTCAGTCTTAGGGATGCTTTCTCCACCTCCTCCTTTAATTATTTTAACACTCTATACAATCAAAATTTCACAGCTTGATGCCTTGCCTACTCAGAACAAGTCGATTCTTGCCACCATGTTCTTTTCTTTGCTTGCTCAAACAATAACTGCATTATTGTATTAACGATGAAAGCAAAGCCCAATATGTCACACACATCAATATGTCATGTGATGGAAGGGGAAAAAAAAAGAAGGCTCTGCACGGTTGGCTATTAATCTTCTCCACAATGTGTTCATTTACCTGCTATTGAAATAATTTGAAGAAAGATTGTGTACCGATTTTTCCTGTGTGTATATCATAATCGAAGGCATGCACAGCATATGCTAGGCTGTCAATGTAGAAGAAGGTTCTGTGATCCAGCGACCAGGCCAGGCCATTTGAGATGTCCACCTCCTCTAACTGCGTCAGAACAGAACAATCAGGAAACAGAGTATAAAGAGCACCTTGGCGCCTTGCTCTCACTCCGGGGGCTGTCTCTTCAGCCATGGTACCTACAGCATAGATGGCAGAAAAACACTAATCAGTATTTCAGAACTGTAGGCTGCTTCACAGCATAACAGCACCAGTGGCAGGGCGGTGTAGGCGGCAGGGGTTAAAGCCCCAGGAGAATATGAGTAGCAGAGACCATAGCATCATCTGCCATTTCTCTGAGACTGCCTTGTTCCCTCTGAAGTTTGTGGTAATCTTCACAATAGCTGGCAGTGAGGGGGAAAACAGTAAATTGCTGCAACCAGGCAATAATGCAACATAATTGAGGTTGTTTTGGTTTTGAATAGGCAATTCAAGATGCAATAACTTTACAAAAAAAAAACTGTCCTTCCTATGTTGATATGAACCAATGCAGTATTTTCAGACTCTTCTGAAGTGGAATGGCTATGGCAACTGTGAAGATGAGCACCCCGCACTTCCAAATTTATCACTACATTCCTGATGGATCACGTCAAAGGCCTGTCTAGTCCACCCTTCCTTAACCTGGAGCTCTCCATTACAGGGCACAACATTCACATGAAGATTTCCCCAACCCAACAAATCAGCCTTATCCCACAATGGCCTATTCTTCTCAAAAGCCTATAGTGAGGAACTACGGTATAATTAAAGCTGTTGATGCTGTATTCCACGTCTACCAGATTATTTCTATCTCCATTCCTGCTGATCTCCTTGAACGATTCTCCTGTTAAGCAAGACTCGTATTGCCAGAAGCCACGCTAATCCTCCCACCACAAGGCACAGCCTGCTTTCTCGTTATATATTATGCAGCCTTTTATATTTCTAGCCTGTTCTGTAAACCATCAGATATATTTGACTTTGCCTCCTATCACCCTCGAACATTTGGATTCAGGCTGATGAGAACTGGAATCTAAAACATCATGAAGGCACCAGGTTGGAGAAGACTGTTATAAAAATGAAACCATCATTTTAAAAAAGATCGTTAAAAGATGCTTTCCATCAAGCTATGTGGGAGAGAACTTAGATCCTTCAATCTAACCCTTGCCCTGATTGTTTCTTTTTAACCAAATTAGCCTTTTCAGCAGATTGTCGGGAGGTAATTATGGTGGGAAGAGGTATTTGGACCAGGGCAAACAACCTCATATTTGCAGTTTCAGCCCCACGTAGTCTGAAAATGCTATTTGGCCTTAGTAACTGTTATCTTTTAACTTTTTCGTAGTTATTCTTTAATCAGAAAATCTTTTCATCCTCACTAGCAGTTAAAACAGACATGTACTGCTTCATTGGTTTCTGCCATTTTTGGAGTTATTGGCTGAAGAATTTAGAAACTTACACACTTATTACATGGCTTTGTAGTTTAAAAAAACATGTATACAGAATTTGTTTCCACTAGCTATATTTTAGGATGTTTTAGTAAACTGTTTTAATTGTTTATGAGCAAGCATATTTATTTATTTGATGTATAACTCACCTTTTCCCCCAGGACTGGGACCCAAGGCTGATCAAAACAAATTAAAACAGTTGGGTAAAAGTGCTGTAAGTTTCTGTAAGTGTTACAGTAGGAGTCTTGATGCCTTTCCTAGTTAGAAAATTAACTTCCCTTGCTATTGTTTTTAGGATGTAAAAATGGACTTTGTTTCCAAACCTGGACTCACACCAATAATGTGATTTCATCTTCTAATGATACAACATACAGATTGACTCTTAAAAGAAATAAAAGCTAGGGATCTGGGTTTAGGGTGTGACAGTACATGTCTCTGCCTAGATTAGTTTAGCCATTCTCATTTGTAGGAGGGAGACAAGCAGGAAAGTTGTCTTAGCTTCATTGTCTCGTGGCTCCTGTCTCTTTTTAATACATAAAAGCCTCTTATTAGAAGTCAGACTTTACTAAAAAAAAAAATAAGGTGGAGGCTAATATTAAAATACAGACACAGTTATAAAAGTTACAGTTATTTGAAAGTAATTTCATCTGTATTTATCACTGAAACAGTAAGATTTTACTCTACATAAACAAAAACTATGGTATATCAGTATGGTTATTAGGACTGACCCAAGCACCACAAGATAATGAACAAGTTTTAAGTTCTCAGGTTTTCTTCAGAATAGATACAACCATACTTTTTGTTGAGCAACATGGGTCTCAGGTCAATCTATATCCCAGTTTTTTGCTTGTTTTGTTTTGTTTTACAGTATCCCAGTTGGGTTAAATCAGATTGTTCGGTGCTTCTAGGAACTGGAAAGTATATCTGCACACTTGGGTGTAATTCTGTTTAACATGCAAGCCAAGAGTGGGCATGACCCTGGTACAGCACAATGGAACTGCATTTGCTTATCCTCCCACCACCACATTAGTTCCTCACTCAAATCATTTCAGGGGTCCCCAACCCCTCACAGAAGGTTTTGGGTTTGTGTGGATGATTGCATTGGAAGCAGGGATTAAATTCCTCATCTAATGCTGAATTGTACAGAAGCAGTTCCATCAGCAGATGCCCCACACTAGAACTGGACATATATGAGATATGTATCTAATACAGATATACCTGCAAAATACCTCCCCATTGGGTCCACCTTTCCATCGTTAAATCTATTGTTTGGTTTATCTGATTCCAGTTCAGCAATAGTAGTAAGTGACGGATCTCCCCAGTTCAAGAAAGCAAACCTGGTTCCTACAGTGACCACATATCCTCCACTCTTGCGAAGGGCCACCGAGCCAACACGGGCCTCTGCAGATGGGGAAAGAATAAGCAAGCTTCAAAGACCAAGCACTTTTTATGGAGAAATGCTTGAGATTCACAATAAAGACCAGCATCCTATTGCCAATCCCAGCCAAGGGTAGACTGAAACTGTGCTGAATGATAAGTCAACACTTATGGAAAGCCCATTGAGCCAATAGATCTGCTCTAGTTTGGATTAGCAATAAAACACTGGCCAGGTATGATTTATTTCTCATTCTCTTTACTTAATTCCGGCCTCGTTCCCCTTTATTTTCCACATGACTGAGCAATAGGCAGAGCTTGACCAAGTTACTCTGTTAGATTGCAATAGTCTGGGTAATAGTCTTGGGATTACTGTAGTAATCCCAAGAAGGAATCATACCTTCTTGGGATTACTACAGTGTTTCAAACAGGGTGACCTTTAGAGATCTACAGGCCTCTTCTTTGGCTGTAGTTGCTGGGAAACCTGAGGACTGAAGAAGTCCGAAAGAAAGAAAGAAAGAAAGAAAGGACGGACGGACGGACGGAAGGACGGAAGGACGGAAGGAAGGTGACTGCATGTAGAGCTGAAAAGTCAACCTTCTTTTTAACAAGGACAAGATAGGGTGGCAATTTAAAGACTAACAAGTTTATTTCAATGTGAATGATTGCCATGGATCCACAAAAGCTCACACCAAAAACAAATTTGTAGTCAATAAAGTGTCACTCACAACATCTCCTCCTTGTTTCCCCACGCCACCCTCTTTTGTTCTGCCAACATGCTGATGAGACAGGCTCACACACCTACTTACGTATTTGAAAACTTGGTTGCAACATGTTGTGTTCTGCCAACACGCTGATGAGACAGGCTCACACACCTACTTATTTGAAAAATTGGTTGCAACATGTTAGTGATCTTCCATAGGATTCATCTTACCCAGATGTTTATTTTCACATCAGCTACTTTGATTTTTCTGTTGAACCATGATTCCTAGAATCTCCCAGCCAGCCTGCTCGTAACATGCAGCCACCTTGCAAAATTAAAAAGTTCTCACTGGATCTGTCTTTCTTTTCCCATTCCCACATTTCTGGGCCTTAAAGTTGCATTCCCCTGCCAGTGTCATTTTCTGAAAAGGGGACATCTTTTTCTGCCACATTATTAGGTCGGGCATCCAAGAATTGTATCCATGGGGCAATTTGTCTCGTTAATTCAAACAGATACCATTCTGCACCAGCTTATCTTTTCCCCCCTTAATGCACAGTGCCATAAACAACATTGTAAAATGTCGGGCATCCAAGAATTGTATCCATGGGGCAATTTGTCTCGTTAATTCAAATAGATACTACTCTGCACCAGTTTATCTTTTTTCCCCTTAATGTCACAGTGCCATAAACAACATCATAAAATTCATTCCATAAACAACATTGTGCCATAAACAACATCGTAAAATTCACTCAGTAGCAATGGGCAACATATTTGAAGATAGCACAGGAATGAAGGAGTACCTAAAGGAAACACATATTGAAGAAAGAGACTTAGTAGGCTGGATGTAAATGCTGAGAGATCTCATGTGGGTTTCAAACAAATCAGAGAAACTTTTATAGTTGGGAGCAGCATAGGATTGGTCCTCTCTAATTATCACATTCTAGAAGCAATTTGTAGCCATGCGGTCAACTGGATGTTTTGATTAAAGCTTATAGATAAGAGTATCTCATCTAAAAGTTAGATTATTGGGAGTAGGAGCTAAAGGTCCTAGAACCCAGTGAGTCAGGAGAACTCCTGGGTGACCTTAAGTTAATCACGCATTCCCATACTGCCCTTGTGCAAAGGTTACAGTGTACATAGAAATGTAAGGAGGACCCATGTGCATCACCTTGAATTCTCTAGGGAGAAAAAAGGCTGAATATTAATGTACTTAAACATAGTAAATGATAAACACATTCATGCATGACTTCACCCTATAAAATACTATATTAACTAATTACAATCTCTCAACAACCACATCTGAGGTTTTCTTCCCCTTTAATGTTTTCTTAAAAGACTGAAGCAATTATGCAGAATAGTCCAAAGAAAGTCCTTGCTTCTAAAGGTTTCAAGAAAAAGCATCTTTCCTACCCAGAGGCACACACTGAACTTCCTTGCTGTTTGAGTCCCAGCGGCAAACTTTCTGTGAATTGATGTCAACGAAAACCAGGCAATTCTGCCTTTCTTCCCATACAGGGCACTCTCCCATCCTGTTCTTCTCTTTCACAACAGTCTCAATCCGAATAGAAGACATGGTCTACAAAAGAAAAGAAAAACAAAACAAAACAAATCACCACAATACCTGCCTTAATTTAGATGGAACAACAGAATTACATTATCCCTCAGAACTGGTTTGGGAAATAGTTCTCTACAAAAATGTCAAAGGGAGTGGCAAAATCTCAAGTTGATGCTGATTACAGATGAGGAAGATTATTTGATAATGACATCATTTGTCTGGTCTGTGGTCGGTCGATTTTAACCACAAACTCAGCCAGTTGGGGCTGCTAGTAGGTGCATCTGTAAAGCAAACAAGAAGAGTAAGGGTCTGGGGAGGGGTGCTATGGAAGCATCCTTTAATAAACTCAGGCATTCACGCTCACAGCAATGACCTCATTTGTCTGAGAATGGTCTTCCTTATTTATAAATCACTATTATTTACAATATGGAATATATTAAATCTAATGCACTGCTGTGGTTTAGATATCAGGGAGTTTGATTCCCCCACTGGACCTCCTTGACAGGGGCTGGTCTTGATGATCCTTAAGGTCCCTTCCAGCTCTACAGTTCTAAGATTATTATTTTATTATTATTAATGGGGGGGAGAGAATCTAAAACTAAATATGCATATATATTAGTTTTTAAGCACCACAAGACTCTTTTGCTGTTTTTCCTGTAAGAAGCTAACATGCTACTTTCACTCCTGGAAATTGTTACCCACGGATCAATACCTGAAGTCCCTTACCACCAATCCATACATCTCCCCCTTCCTATGTCCACAAAGCGTCTCTGTAAAGTGGTGGTTTTCTGAACCGATCTATATCAAATGCCATTCTAGATCATTCAGTAAAATACTGGTGAACCATTCTCTCACTCTGTTTCATGAGTGTCTACTCTTTTGCCTCAGATCAAGTGCCCGAAACAACTGTCAGCTTTGTTATGGAAGCTGGTCATGCAGAACCCTGATTGGCTAGCCCTTGCCACCATCACTGGTGACATTCATTTTCTGGGATTAAAACTTTCCATAGTGCTGATTGATCAGTCTGAGCTTGTGATGGTCACAAACCTATTCATTAATTAAAGGCAACAGTCTTTAATGATTGAAGGATGAAAGTAACGCTTAAAAAATAAGAAATACACAAGACAAGCTGGAGAACATATAAGTAAGTGCTGGAGTGTGTGGGTGGCTGTGGCCCAGTTCCACTGGAGGGGAAAATAATATGCATTTGAGATTTATCCTTTGGGCATCAGATTCCCTAGAGTGAGGACTGAGTGGGACTCCTCCTGCAACAGGAGAATCTACAACATTTTCTGTCTGAAAATATTTCTACATGGTCTTTAGTTCCCATTCCCCCCAAATGGAAATGTCATCACACAGAGGCTTCTTGCCTTAGGCAAGCTCTGATGGGAATTCAGATTCCCTAGTACTCCGGGCAGAATGGAAGGCTGACTAAGTTTTCTTTCCTTCTGCCATTATTCTGTGCAAGAATTCACTCCCTTCTCTTCACTCACGCACCCCAATTAAAAGCATTAATTTTGGACTACAATACATTGTTTAGCAGTCATGCTGGCTAGGGGATTGAAAGGTCTGGGGAAAATACTGAGACATTCACAGAGAATCTCTGAGTGCCATATGAGGAAGGAAGGAAGGAAGGAATTTGCAAAATTGCATAATGAAAGAAACCTAAGGTTCGTGATACTCCTTGCTCAATTACTATTGAAATCAAAACAATACCTTTGTTGATACCTTTGCCATGTTGTCATCTGTACACACACTGAATGTTATGTATAATAAAGTTAGTCATCTGTACACACACTGAATGTTATGTACGTATAATAAAGTTATACTGTACTGTATATGCAAGTTGACTGGATCAAATAGACTGCTTGTATTAATAAATTATTACCAACAGATAGTCAGTTATTTTATCCACAGTAGGAAGACTATTAATTGCACTTTACACTTAGTCAGCAGTCACATGAATTCAAAGATGTGCCTTAATCCCAAATTTTCATAATAACCCATTCTGTAACACCATCCTTGCGAAAGATTAACATGATCTGAAGGCTGTTCTTCCTAACGTTTCGCCAGTCTCTGTGGCCAGCATCTTCAGAGGACAGCACAAAGAGCCCGAAAAACCCACAACAACCATTAGATCCCGGCCGTGAAAGCCTTCGTGAATACATTAACATGTTCCATAGGAACAGCATTAACTGGTGGGTATCAAAGGAATAAACAAACAAACAAACAAGGAAATCAGCGTTACAGATATTCATTATGTAGCTGAATAGTTTGGTATCTGGCTGTGAAGCCAGAGATTGGGGGTTCAGTTCCCCTCTGTGCCTCCTTGACAGGGGCTGGACTTGATGATCCACAGGGTCCCTTCCAGCTCTGCAGTTCTAAGATGGTTGTTTTTGTTTGTTGTTGTTAAGGCTGACACAGATTTTCCACCAGTCTTCAGAAGAGAACCATTGGAATTATTTGCAACGTTTGTATGCTGCCTTTATGAGGTTTTGATTGGGAGGGACATTTCCTGCAATTTCCTGCCAATCAATCCAGCAGCAACCAATTGTCCCCTCTCTGACTCAGATTTTGAAAAGAGCCATGACTCTCTCCTCAAGAGTTATTATCCTGCTCTTTTTTTAGTCAGACAGTTAGAATCAATATGTGATCAGTGCTCTGTCAGAATACTATTAGCCACGTAGTGATTCAGTCAAGAAACTATTCAGTCATTTAAGCTCTGGTTGTGTAACCAGTCAATATTTTTCTACAGAATGCTGTTTCTCTTTGATTGATTCAGGATGGAGAGTAAAGGGAACTTTTAATTTTTTTTTCTCTTACCAGTGTTTCAGAATTACAGAATGCTGTTTCTCTTTGATTGATTCAAGACTGAGAGCAAAGGGAACTTTTAATTTTTTTTTTCTCTTACCAGTGTCTCAGAATTTTATTGAGACAGTAAATGCCAGTTGAGGAGAACAAACAATAAGTGGTGGTTTATTGTTTAAGCTAATTCTGCTCTGGAGGTTCATGAATCTTTTTTCTGCCACATAGCTAAAGGCTATAAGCCACAAATTTCATACTCTGCCAAGAAGAACATTCAATGCTTCCACACAGGCAGGAGGTTGCTGTACTGCACAGGAAGATATTATTGATCATTCACCCAGATGTTGTGTTGCTACCACATAAAGACTTCCCTTTGAATCTGTTGTAGTGTAGGAGAAAAGATAGGCCTGTCCTCTCCCTAGTTCTCTTAACAGAGTCACCTGCCATGCCGGGTAGCCAAATAGACAAAGGGGAGCATGTGACACAAAGGGAGCTGATAATTTGTTTTCGAAGGCTTTCACGGCCAGGATCCGATGGTTGTCTTTTCAGCCTTGTGGATGATTCTAGTTCCGCTGATCATCCCTCCATTCCCCTGAGCCTCAGTGCCACTCTCAGCTTTTTTGCATCCATGAAAAAGAACAAAAAGAACATCCTGAAAAGAACAAAAACCCTGATCCCACAGCTACAAATACTCAACAATCCCACACACTACAGGAGAACACAGACAGAGTTCTGACTCCTGTCCTCTGAAGATGACAGCCACAGAGGCTGGTGAAACGTTAGGAAGAAAAACCTCCAGAACATGGCCAAACAGCCAGAAAAACCCACAACCCCCATCGGAGCTGATAATTGTTATTTCTTGCTGGGTGAACCACACTGTCCCAGCACACACTGTCTACATGCATCTTGGATTGCCTCCAACATCTTGCTCCTAGCCCTTATTGTCTTCCCCCTTTCTCTCTCTTCTCATCCATAACTCTGCCAAGTTTCCTGCTCCCCTTGTTCACCCATCCATGTCACACTTTCCTTATCACATTGTCCTCAAACCTTCCTGTTTCTACCCTATCTACCTATCTTACTGTATCACAATCCTCTCCCTTTAATTCTCCCCCCCAGTTTACCTGATTTTGCAGTATAGCAGCTTGTTGGTATGTTTTGTTGCAAGCAATGTCTTCAGTATTACCACCCACCATCTGCTAATAATACACTGGCACTAATTTTGCACGGGTAATAGTATGACACTTTGGATTTTTCCATTCATCAAGTGAAAAACTGAAAACAGGGCATTTCCCTTTTCTGGCATACTGGGTCCCTTTCTCGCTGAATGTACCTATATGCCTTGGTGTGATATTTATTACAAAAGAAAAAAAAAAGAGAAGTGCTATCATATTACAGGACCTTGCTTGGCAGGTGAAAGTATTGATCCTTCTGACTGATGCCCAACTCCTGTCAGGAACTGGAAGAGGGAATGCAGGAAATAGGAACAGGCAAGTGGTTGTTGTATGGATGCAAAACAGGTGAGAGAGTGGCACTGAGGATCAGGGGAATGGAAGGGATGATCGGTAGAACTAGAATCATCCACAAAGAAACATAACCTCATGAGATACACTCACAAAAGCACAGAACAATAGGAATCAACATGCTATCATAACCCGTTTGAGTAGATCTTGCATCAATACAAATCAAGGCAATATGATTTTTTTTTAAAAAAAAGCAATACAGGTACATAGTGATGAGAACTGGAGAAATAAAAATCTCCAGCAGCATAATCCTCAGAACCAGATGTCATCATTTAAAAGAAGAAAGGTTTTTCTGACAGAAAATTTCACTTAAATTGGACTACCATGTCCATTATCCCCAGCCAGCATGGCCAATAATCTATGGTAATGGAAGTTGCAATTCAATACACTTAGAAGACTGTAGATTGCAAAAGGCTGTCTGTATGAGGATGTTCCTTTTCTGAATTGTTAATCTGAAAGCCATATTTATCTTACCGTACAATATCTGGCTGTGCTACGCTCCCGACTGAAGGCAACGTGAATGATTTCTCTAAGTAGGTTACACAACCTAATATACCCTGCTGTAACTTTTAAGTGCCCAGCCCACATTTAAAATAAATGTAGCTGTAGCGTGTGGCAGCTGCTTCCTGTGACACAACGTTTTCTGTTGTTCTGTTCAGCCTGACCACAAGAAATGAAATGGAGCAAAAGAAGCATCAACATCTTGACATAGGAAGTCCCAAGGTGTGAGGTTGTTGTTCTTTCCAAAACAGAACGGGGGGGAGCCAGTGAAGAGGAAACTCCTTGTTCTGGGAGCAAGGCTGAGTACAACTATGCTATTAAGGTACCTCTCTTGGTCATTTGGAAAATGATCTGACACTCAGTGAAATATGAGGAGTTATTCAGTGGCTCCCTTTTTTCAACATCACCAAACATGCTGCCAGGATTTCTGCGTACATGGGTCTACGTGGGGGTAGGGTGTGAACCAGGGAAGCACATATCTCCTCCCTCCTTAAAATCCTTAACTCATATACTCTTTTAATGTACACAGACACATGGGTTTGCACCTTGTTAATGGGGAAAGGTCCCCCTAAAGCCCATTTGGTTTGTCATCCCAAAAAGTGATCCCCACTTTGGACCAAATCAGCACCATCACCACCAGGGACAAGCAACGAGCTCTGTCCATGACAGGAACCTTTCAAGATAACTTGTCAGCGCCCTATTCAGCCTCTGACTTTTGCTAAAGCGGAGCCGGAGCCTTGTTGGACTTTCTCGAGGGTTTTTAGGGAACTCAGGCCTGAAAATGGAATTCTGTTTCCCTCAAGCTGGAAAACTGATCGCACGTCTGAGGTCTAGGCAGGATTTAGAAGCAGATTTCCTAAAGAAGAGGCAGTAAACCACACAACAGCTATGGAGATGTTGTTATATTTTATTGACAGAGACAAGGAAAGCCAAATTTTAGACGGTGGTGAAAAGGAATCATACCAAATTATGGAAAGCTAATTACAAATACAGTTTGAGAACACAGCAAACAAAGTAAAAAGCTGATTAGCTTGAGTTACCTACTTACACAAGCAGTGGGAACATCCACTCACACAATACTCAGGAGTCTGCAGCATGCACAGAGTGAAAATACTCCAGACTATCTGGAGCCTAGCAAGTTGCACTCTGAACTACATGAAGCCCCTGAAGGGTCTGGTGTCTCCCACTTACATATTTTAAAGTCTTGTGATCTAGATAAAACCAGCAGGCAGAATTTGGTGAGGCCGTAATCTTCTAAATAAAACATAATCATCAATAACAAAACACATTTTCATGAGAAAGACAGTTGAAACCATTTGCTAATTGAGCCAACAGAGATAACACAGATGTTCTAAGGAGAAGCCCTCTTGCAATTTTTTTATTGAGATAATTCACTGAAACCCTCAGACCTCTGAAACCTAGATGGAAACAGTGCAGTCCTGTAGATCTTCACCTACACTATGTGTGCAAATTTTGCTAAAATGATGCTAGTCAATTTGGCCCCCTGCCCTCCCCACAGATGCTCCCCCCTGCAGATGCTCAACTGTATGTTCTTAGAGTCTTCAGGATCTACCTAAGGCTGTGTCTTTGCCACACACTGACCAATGGCCAACACAACTTCCCACTTTTGTACTTATTGTCAGTAGGAATGATGACCTTTACAGGTATATAGGCAAAAGATGAAATATTCCAGTTTACCCATTAACTGAAGCTCCACCCGTTTCTTAGAAGTAATATTGGTGTGAAAACTTATCCCAAAAGTATAAGTGGATCCCCATAATTAATACAATCTACATACTAGTGAAAGGAAAGTGAAAGGAAAGTCCAATGCTGTAAAGAAAAATATTGCATAGGAACCTGGAATGTAAAATCTATGAACCTTGAGCTGGATGTGGCCAAACAGCCACCTAGAGTGGTCGAAATGACTAGATAGGCGGGGTATAAATACAATTAATAAATAAATAAAGAATAAACATTGACATCCTGGGTGTCAGTGATCTAAAATGGACAGGAATGGGTGAATTCAATTCAGATTACAGTGGTGCCCCACACAGCGAGGTTAATCCGTTCCGGATTAACCTTCGCTGTGGGAAACATCACACTACGGAACACCAAAAGGCATTGGAACGCATTAAACAGCGTTTAATGCGTTC